GTCCAAGAAGGCAACCGGAGAGGGAAAGCCAAGTCTGACACAACAAAAAATGAGATAGTTGCTTACTAGATAGAGTTGCCCTGGATCATCACTAACTTTAGTAAGACACTTAGAAGTTAACTAATGCTAGTAATGTTTCATGAATATCAATTAGTTACCAACTAGGCTTAGTAAACAGCTACATACCATTTTAGTAACCAACTATAGGCTTAGCAAGGTTTCATTAATATGGCTTCTGGACCTGCGATTGTGTGTTTCGATTAGATCCAAAAACCCACGAGCATCATGACGTCCTCCTATATCAGAAAGCTGCGTAGGCTCAATGTATAAAGTGTCACGAATGCTTATTTTCCGATTACAGGACGCTAACTTGCGTGTAATTGACTCAGAAACTATGTACTGTACCGAGCTAAGTGGTGGGCAGCCATGTAAGTCAGGCAGATGCAAGTAGACTAGATATGGCCAAAATAAAAAGTCTCCGGTTTCTGGTATGGAGCTTGCCCAAAAAAGTGGTGCGGCGACGCTGCTTTTTCTTTTACCTGACTTTTTTGCTTCAAATGTTGGCTGATGACTGCAAATGGTGCCCGACTAAACTTAGTGCAAATATATGGGAGTCCAGAGAGGCCACATAAAGCTTATTCTCGATCATAACCCCTTCTAAAAACACGTTAAAATTGTGCAGCAGCAGGATTCCAGTCAAACCAGTGAGTTTGGCGGTTTTGAGACATCATCTTTCATTGAAAAAAAAAAACCTTTCATTTTGCCGACGCGCATGGCTACGGCGACGCGCGCGCATACCAGAAACCGGAGACACTTTTTTTTGGCCTAAAGGTGTAATAAACTTGCAAGTGATTCCAGTAAGCCAGCCAAATGTGGAATGTCTTCTAAGAAAAACAAACCAATAATAACTAGCATGCACGCTATAGATCAAATATTTGAACCACAACAAATAAGATGTGGGTGGATGCCATCGTTAATTGTGACCTTAAATATACCTAAGTTTCATAAATCGTTAATACCTGTAATAGGTAATATATATAACCATGCTTTTCGTTTCTTATTCGTTTATGGGCCATCGCTTTCATCGTTTGGTCATTTAAATCAGTAAGATTTTTTAATCGATTTATTTTCCTATTTTCCTCGGTGGTTCATCCCCCCCCCAAAAAAAAAATCTTGCTGGAGGGCAAGGTCTTGACAAGGAATTTCACAGTGAAGAAGTACGAGAAAGGGACTTTACGATGAACTTTACGATCACTTTACGGGACCTTGGTTTATAAGGATGAGAGGAAGCGCATTCAATCGATATTGATGAGAAGAGATTGTATGGGTGTAGCTCCTTCGGTGACGGTACCTGGATGAGGTGACTTTAGCGATTTTCTCGTGAGCAGCTGCGGTTTATTTCATGAACAATTCTCAGACATTTGCCGAGCAACAAAATCAATAGATCGTTCACTTTACTAGTTGTTCATCCTTGACCTTCAGGGAAAAAGAAGCATATGAGGGAAACTGCACTGGCAGATACCAATAATGTCAACAGAAATCCTTTGTGCTGTTTCTTTTTTAGGCTTTGCAACAAAATTACGTTTCGCAGGGACAGTGGGGGAAACATTTGATTGAATTGAAAGTGAATTAAAACCTTTTGTAGCATTGGCGTACAGAATGTGACTGGATGGGCATCATTGTGCATGATATTTGAATTGTAAATCGTAAAGTCAAAGAAGGGCTAATTTCAATATTTTTTTCTCGTTTTATGCACAGTTCTTTTTAGCTTGACTATGGGCCTGTTGTAAGTGGACAGGATGGAATATTTCCGTTTAAGATGTCAGGCAAAGAAACCGACAAAATGGCAAATCTGGAACATTCGCGATTAACATGCGAACGGGTATTAATGCCCGTTGTCACACTTCCAACCAATTAAGGCAAATCTGCTCGTTGCATTTTGTAGTAGAGCTCAGAACAGTCGTGTGTCTTTGTGTGTAGGATCCGTGGTTAAATGGAACACGCAGGTGCCTTTCTAAGGATTGCTTTAAAAATACATTGCATGCGTCCTTTAAATGGAATATACATCATTTTCAACCTTCGAAAAAAAATTCAACTATCAAGTTTTAACAAAATACCTCACTAGGATGTTGGTAAATGACAGTCTAAAGCACCCTGTAAAATTATGGCACCTGGTGTGAAGTCATTTTCAAGAAAATTGTATTTTTGTATAAATTTCCAACAGTGGTCGGCCGATCACCGTTGAAAAACCTAACTATTTTTCAACTACTGCTCCAAATTCACCATTTTATCCACTCCAAATTTTGTTTGCTATTGGTGACATGTTCATGAACGGGTGCAGGCCAGCTAGACTGGTTCCCTTACCTTACAATTTTCCGGCATCTATAAATTGATCCATTTTATCTTTAGTGGAGTCAGGGAAATATACTACTCCACCATTTGTGTGTTTCTTGTTTTTTTTCCAGCATTTTCGATCACAAAACTTCAAACATGTCAGTGTAACAATGTTTGATCTATTATTGTAACCCCTCAAATAGTTCGTTTTGAAAATTACAGCAAAAGCCAATGATGTATTCCTTTAAAGGAGGTGCCTAGGAACACGTGCAATTTACTGGAACCGTACCTACCCATGTAACGAGAAAATCCTTGCTCAAAGTGAAGAGAAGACAAGTACCAAATACCCTGTTAACATTAGTCCCCCTGAAATGTTATCATTCAAAAACAACCAGCCATTTTTTAAGGAAAGTTTAAGAAATTGTGCCCGCAGGTACAGTTCTAAATGTACGTTCATTAGCAACGGAATCCTGCAGTAATACCAGACCCATAAAATTGTGCCCATACGTTTTCTGTTTTCTCAAAATGTATATAGTAATCACTGAGTTGAAACTTAGGCAACTTAGTTGTTATGTGCCCTTCTTAACAATTTGAGCAAATGATCATGTGAGCCTTACAACACAGGATCATTTTTTTATTCAATTTTAAGGTCAAGTAAACAATAGCCAGTTCATCGTCCCCGCCCGCATCCTTATTTGAAGCCGCATCCATTTTTTTGTATTTTTTCCTTCTTCTTCTTGTAACTTCTTCTTGTATTTCGCTTTAATAAAATACGTAGAACATGTTTATTAGAATATTTTGACTGTACTTACTATTAGGATAGCTAATTAAAAGCTGGCTGACATTTTGAACCGATTATGGCGGCCATTTTGAATTTAAATACTTGGCGGCCATCTTGGAAAAAAATAGAAAGTAAAAGGGCTCATCCTATTTTGAAAAAAAAAACCGGACGATTAACTTTTTTTTATAACTTGGCCAAATAGTGTTTATTTATTTACATAACTCATATAAACATCCACAATCGCGTTAAAATACTATATTTAAATATTTAATATTAATGTGAAAAAAAAACCCGGTGAAAAACACTTCTTAACGGAGGGCAAGTTCTTGACACGGAATTGCACAGTGAGGAAGTACGAGATAGGGAGCTTGAAGATCACTTCACCGTACGAGACCTCGGTAGAGAGGAGGAATCGATCGATATTGATGAGAAGAGAATGTATTGATGTGGCTCCTTTAGTAACAGTACATGGAGGAGGTGACTTTTGTTTTAATCTCCTGAGCTACTGCGGTTTATTTCATGGACAATTCTCAGGCATTCGCCGAGCAACGAAGTAAATAAATAGATCGTTCACTCTATTAGTTTACATCCTTGACTTTCGGGGCAAAAGAAGCATATGAGAAAACTGCACTGGACGACCCCATAAATGTCAACAGAAATCCTTTGTGCCGCTTCCTTTTTTTTGAGGCTTGGCAACAAAATTACGTTTCGCAGCGACAGTTGGGGAAACAATTTGATTGAATTGAGAGTGAATTATGGCATGGGCGTACAAAAGGTCATGGGATGCGTATCATTGTGCATGGTAATTGAATTGTAAAGAATGGCTGGTTTAAAAAAAAAAATTGCTCGTTTTTTTCCCACAGTTTGTTTTATTTAGTTTGACCATGGGCCTTTTGTAAGAGGACAGAATAGTAACTCTCTGAAGACATGGATAGCTCAATGAATACCACAATTGCCGCATAACTCAATATAATGACCCTTTTAATCTTCAATAACACTAGAATGGCAATGGGAATGGCAAGGTCGAAATACCCACCTCCCAGGCCGTCAATTAAAATAATAATAAAAAATTAAAAGCTTACGAGATCTCGCCACGTTGTATTTTTTTTAATGAATAATTCGCCATTATTTCATATTAATGATTAGTAATTCATCAAATTCGTGAGCATTTATAATTCATCAACATGAAATGTTATTTAATTTTAGTCTGTTGTCGCTCAATCCGTAATGTTTAGTGGCGATCTTTTTTTAAGTTTTTAGAATTACACCAATAACCGTTGATATACATATCATTTAGGAAGTGAATATTTAGCCGGCTAGTTTAGCCGGCTTTCTTTCAGTGACCGATAGTTTGCCTGCTAGATTGTACAGCGCATTATATACAAGCTATAAAATTACCACCACCGTAAATTGTGCAGCGTCCGATGGTCTGATGGATAAGGGCATGTACATGTAGTTCATGAGTCAGAGATCTCTGGTTCTTTATAGGCTAATCAGAAAGTGCTGCCTATTTCAGATGTCTAATTTTCGTGAAATTTCATGTTGAAATTTTGATACGCAAACTGTGCAAATGAATCTGAAAATGTCATGAAAAATAGAAATCTGAAGAAGGCAGCACTTTCTGATTAGCCTATAATGAGGGTGGGTATGCTTCTAAAGCAAAAATAAACTACAAACTAAACCTAAATGTGAAAATCAAAACTTGACAAAGTCCGACATGTTTTTGTACATGGTGGAAGTGTGGCCTTTATTTACGGAGGTAGTCCAGTAAATTAGCCACATTTATGGGGCTATACCCAACAGTGTTCAACCCAAAATGTTTCTATAGTGTATAATTTGATTTTCATGGGCTGGAGAAGTAAGATGGGAACGCACGATCACTTACCATGGTGATCAGTTATCCGCAATCCAGTCTTCAGCGGAGTTCGTGTTTTTATCAGTGTCCGGAATGCCAATGACAGCAAAGCTCTCTCGCCGTCAAAACGGTACGTTCGTCGGTAGAGCTGGATGTCGCGTCACCCGCTGATGAGCAGAACTGTCTTTCTCGGAACGAAGAATGTCAATCCCGAGGCTTACGCATCTGTGACTGGCGGCCGTTCCTGGCTTAGTGCATTCAGTTCCCCCGCACGTGTATTATTCGCACTAAAAAAGAAAACAACACCACTCGCACAATTCTGATTGGTCGCCGTTTTCTTCATCTCGGGAATTATCAAATACCGAGCGCCGTATTCATCTGTTGAATATTTCATTTCTTTTGTTGTGTGTGCGTGTGGGGAAGGAGGCCTCAGATATTTCCACCTACGATTGTCTCGTAATCAAATGATTTCATTACATCGCTTTTCTCCGGCCAATAGAATACAGCAAGTTTCGCAGTAGCCGCCAATAAGTACCTTGCATCGCACATTCTGTTACGTTCGTTCCAGCATTCGGCAATCAGTCATGCCGAGTTTGTTTATCGAAGAAAATGAACAGACAGTACAGCCTGTTATGCAAAGGATCGAACAAACACAGATAGGTAGCGCCACCCAGTAATTACCACATCTTTTAGAAAACAGTTGGTTATGAAGAACGCTTCTATTATACGCGTTGATAATCAGATTGAATTCGATGGGATAATTGGACTGGATATGATCGGATTGGTATTTCAAAATGTCATGGTCGAATTAGGCCTGCGTGCTTCTGGGATGGAATTAAATTCTTTGAATCATTAGTGGCTAAATGTAAATGCTGAATAGGGGAGTGTTGAGTTTGGTGTGATTGTGCTCAAATTTGTATCCTTGTGGAGACACGCACACAATAGGGAACAAAACATTGTAAAGGTCTCCACAGGGCAATTTCTATAGATGAATAGGTCTCCACAAGGTTTCACGAAAAAGATATATGGATTTTACTAAAAAACTAGGAATTTCTAAGGTGGGTTGATCGGTCGCAAATGGAAGAGTTTTAGAAAAGGGATATAAAGTCCGAATTTCAGCCAATAAAAATAATTCTGGTTAAAATAAGAGCATTTTGAAACTTCACTTTCAAAATCGAAAACTTAAACTACACGAGAACAAAGAAATGTCTCTACAAGGATACAAATTCGAGAGTTTGTGTTTGGGTAGGGTTGGGTTGGAATAGGTTTGTTGGCGTTGGATTTGCCGGGTTTGGATTGGGTTGAGTTGGGTTGAAATTGATTTGTTGGCGTCGGTTATGCCGGGTTTAGATTGGGTTGAGTTGGGTTAGAATGGGTTTGTTGGCTCGGGTTATACAGGGTTTGGTTGGGTTTGCTTTAAGATCGGTTAACATAATGGGTAGGGTTGGGATAAACTGGTTTAGGTTGAGATGGGTATATGGTTGTGTAGGTTAGACTGGACTTGGGTTTGCTTTGGGTTGGTCGGAATAACATTTTGTATTTTGTAGAGATGAACTCCTTAAACAGTCGTGTATACTCACACCTCGTCAGCCCTGAGGGTTAAAATGCTGATTATCTTAGGTAGTTTATAGCCTTTCAGCTCATAAACCCACCGACCAACTGAACAACGCAACCGACAATCAAACGACCAACTAAACACACTCAAACAATCATCCGAGATCCAATTTATTAACTGAGGTTACCGAAGTGATAACGAAATCAAACCAATTTATAAACCGCGTTGTACAGTCTGCCCCACGGACCATTATTTGCAATTAGTAAACTGAGCGTGCGGTACTGTGCATGTGCCTCCACTTTCCAAATTGGGATTTCGTTTTGGATTCGTATTATTTGTTTGCCTGAAATTTCTTTAAAATTTTCTTGGACTTTCTCCGATTGTTCCCTCCTTAAACTAATAAATATCCTTCAGATTTGGATATCCTTAACATTTCCTGAAAAGTTTCATTCCCCAAGAGGTTTCCTTAGGATGTTAACATTTCCTCAGAAAATTTTCCTTAAAATAAGGATATTTTCTTTAAAGTTTCGTGATAACCTATTCACCTATAGAAATTGCTCTGTGGAGACGTATACAGTATTTTGTGCTTATGCACTTGTCTCCAGAGGGTACCGTGTAACGATCACATGCAAGGTACCCTCTGGAGACAAGTGCATAAGCACAAAATACTGTATACGTCTCCACAGAGCAATTTCTGTAGGTGAATAGGTTATCACGAAATAGATAATATAGATTTTACTCAAAAACTAGGAATTTTTACGGTGTGTTGATTTCTTGCAAATTGAAGTATTTTATGTAAGGGGTATTAAGTCAAAATTTCAGCCCAGGAAATTCATTCTGGTTAAAATAGCAGCATTTTGAAAGTACACTTTCAAACTCGAAAACTTTAGTACACGAGAACAACTCGAAAACTTTAGTACACGAGAGCAAAGAAATGACTCCACAAGGATACACATTTTAGTATGTGCGCACTTAGTGTGTGTCCCCAATAACACACAACCAAATGACGTAGGCTTATTTCTTCATCCAAATATTATCTTGATGACTGCGTTCGTTGTTTGTGTTCCTTCCTCCATGTTCTATGTATTCCTTAACCCTGAATGTAGTTGTGTTGACAAGACGCCCTTGCCTTCTACTCGATTGTTATCAGGCCCTGTAAAACCATTTTAAATCGATGGTATTTATTCAGCGGCTTCTCAAGCCTGTAGGCCTATGGCGGTACATTTCGTATGACAAAACCCTATCTGTATACCCCGCGTTCAATTACTTCCCCCGCCTTCACTCGTGCAAGCTTGACTGCGTTCGATTTAACTCTCACGCGACTTCTCGCGCTCACTCGAGCCTGGCCCAAGTAACCGGCCCACTGAACCGGTTACTAAGGTAAAGTAAAGGGGACGAACCTGTGTTCACAGGAATTATTATTATTATTATTAATCATTTCTGGTAATGAAACCAAGGATTCCTCAAAAGCGCCCTAGGCACTGTAGCTCGCAAGCCTGAAGAAACCTGTGGAGAGAAGACAATGAGAAGAAGTTACAGTTTTAGAGGTGGGAGGAAAAGCCAGAAGAATATTCTGGGGAAAACCCACGGAATAAGGCAGGGACTGAAAACCCAATCCACATATTGGCCCATATCGAACCTGGGTCACAGCGGTGGAAGGCGAGGAAAGTACCGCTACGCCAACCTGACTCCCAGGTGGAGTGCCCATCTCTCTTTTGAAGTGATTGGGCCATATGCTGCTGTGGGGGGATCGCTACACCTCCTTCACAGCGAGTCTGTTACATTCCCAGCATTGAATAATGCCGGAACCCATTTAACACCTGGGTTGAGAGGAGTAATTGAGGTAAAGCGCCTTACTCAAGGGCACAACACGCATGGCCAGCCATGGCAGGGCCCGAACCCACAATGTCACGATCGTGAGGCCTGTGCTCTACCGCTAGGCCACACGTACCACATTGCGTAAGTATCCCACAAAACATTGCGAAAACGTGGCAGATAAGTCGCTGCGGCAGCGTGTCTCAGCGTCACTTCACACTAGAAGCCTACTAGACGACGGGAGGAAAGTTAACTTAATGTTAAACATACCCAGCATTTCTTGTTCACTTTGAAGATCACGTACAGTGGCCACCATGGCTCGCTCTCGACAAATCGAATCCATTTGCAAAGGGGATTTAATCGCCACGTGACCTCTTAGCCCGGTCCGGTTGCTAAGGCTCGACCTCGATAACCGTTCGTTAATTGCAACATATTGCGTATGTGCCTCTGTACCCAAGGACGAATGTGCGGGTAAGAGCGAGGGAAGTAATGAAACACGCCGCGGCGCTAGATAGGTGAGAACTGGGCTGTAAATCTTCCAACTTATCTCTCAAAAAGTCTTCTACAGGGTGAGTAAAAAAAGCGAAACCCAAATATCGGGACTGTGGTTTAGTAAAGTTCTGCATGTAGCACTTGCAAAATCTAAAGATATAAAGGCAAAAAAGTCATCAGCTTTCTTTTGGTACAAGAATCATTCAAATCACTCATGTGCTTTTCAAGTTACGGAATTTTAAACACAACCACCTTTTTAAGGTTCCGTCCACGGATCACAAAAAGGTGTGCGTTCTTTCAGCAAAACGAAAACAATTCACACACATCCCTTTGTGATTCGTTTTCGTTTTGAAAGTGCTACATGCAGAAATGCACTTAACAATGGTTCTGACATTTGGGTTTCGTTTTTTGTTACTCACCCTGTAAAGTTGAACACTGTAATTGCAATTTTTCTTACTTTGATGGGCAAAAATTAGTAACCCAGTATTCATAAATACCTAAAACAGTTGACCCATTCCTATTTAGGGCAAAAGCCCATCCAGTGGCCAGTTTTAAACTGTTGATAAGGGCAGTTTCTTACTCTTGTGGGCCGAAATGATTTTTTGACCGAAAAGGTATTTATGAATGGGAATAAATATGTGCTTAGTCGGCATTAAACACTATGTTCACCAGCGGTTGGAGTCTGGATGTTGATAATTACTCTCGCATTCGGCTCGGGTAATTATCAGCAGAGTCCACCTGGTCTTAAACAGAGTGTATAAAACTGCCCAAGAACACATGTATTCCCCAATCTAGCCCCTTTTTCAAATTTAAGTTATTAATATTTCAAGAAAAGTAACTTCACTTTCGCCAGGATGTTATACTTTCGCTCCGGATAAGATATCTTTACGTCTTTCAGAATGTGCCCGAATAACCGATGATAATAAAATTTCATCACCAGACGCAAACAAAAAGCGGGTTCTTTTCCCCAGGATTTCTAGGTGCGTTGTGACTGGCTCCGTCTCTGCTAACGAGAGAATTGGAGTCTGACGTTTTTTCCGGACCTAATTGATGTGTACGAAGAAGCAATCTACTGACTACATAGCTAATGCGACTCGTCAATCATTTATTAAATGTCGTTCGAAAGGCATTAATAAAGACGTGAATATACAAAACAAAACTAGAAAGCATTCAGAGAGCGCAAAACCTCCGCCAAGGCTGAACACTTCCCCGCAATATTGCCAGTTCACCCATAGGAAATATTCGCGTATCCACTGGATTTCCATTTTATTGCACATTTAAAATGTCAACATGTCATATTCTGAATGAATCAAAATATATTCTAGCCGCTTAACATCGTCATTTATTCCAATAAAAAAACATTATTTAACACTTGTATCACACAAATCCCTTATAACAATACCTCAA